TCATTCCTTTTAAAAGATGAGACAAAGAGATCAGTATAATTAGCAGCGCTGCCAGACCATGACAGGTCACGGTCTACTTCAGTATCAGAAAGAGCCATCATAGCAGCAGCAACAATACACTATCAGCCCTAGAGAGTGGAACAGCCCATTCGCCATCCAAATTAAGAACTGCACTCTTTCTCTGGGACATATACTGTGAAGCAATCACTTTTATGGGATCATTTTCCAGAAGAAAAAAAGACAGCTTTACTTCAACGATACACAATTTGCAAGCCTAAGCAATTGCTACTGAGAAGTCTCTTTCATTGAAAAGAAAAAGTATTTTCTCTTAATGGCAGTCCTCAAAAATAATATAAAAATGTAATGAGGTGATTTCTGAAAATCATTTCTGGTAACATAGCATATTAATAAAATAAAGGACAAAAATCATATGACCAGTTCAATAGATGTAGAAAATGCATTTAACAAAATTCAACAACCTTTCATGATAAAACATTCAACAAATTGGGAATAAAAGACTGAATGTTTTCCCCTACGATCAGGAACAAGACAAGCATGTCCACTCTTGCCACCTCCATTCAATACTGTCTTGGATGTTCTAGCCTGAGCAAGTAGGCAAGAAAAAGACATAAGTAACACACTGCAAAGGAAGAAGTAAACTTACCTCTATTTGCATATGATAATCTTGTATACAGAAAATCTTAAGGAATCCACTAAAAAACTATCAGAACTAATAAATAAGTTCAGCAAGGTTGCAGGATACATCAGCAATATACAAGTATTAGGAGTATTTCTATACATTATCTATGGACATTCCAAAAATGAAATTAACTATCTCATGTACAATAGCATCAAAAAAATAAAATAGCAACAAATTTAACAAAAGAAGTGCAAGACCTGTACACTGAAAACCACAAACACCATGGAAAGAAGTGAAAGAACAAGTAAATGAGAAGATATCTCATATTCACGGATTAGAATACTTCATATTGGTTAAGGTTACAATACTCCCCAAACTGATCTATAGATTCCACGCAACCCCCATCAAAATCCCAGTTGCCTTTTTTGCAGCAATTAATGAGCCAATCTTAAAATTCAGATGGAAATGTAAAGGATCCAAAATAGCCAAAGTAATTTTGAAAAAGAAAAATAAAGCTGGAGAACTCACCCTGCCTGACTTCAAATCTTACTATAAAACTACAGTAATCAAAACAGTGTGGTACTGGTGTAAGGATATGACGATCAATGGGAGAGAAATGAAAACACAGAAATAAACTCTTTATATTTATGGTCAACTGATTTTTGACAGGACAATTCAAAGCAGAAAGAATGGTCTTTTCAGCAAACGGTGCCAAGACAACTGAATATTCACGTGTAAAACGACAAAGTTGGATCCCTACCTCATATCATTTACAAAAATTAACTCAAAATGGATCACAGACCTAAATGTAAGAGCTTAAAACTCTTAAGAAGAAAACACAGGAATAGATCTTCATAACCTGAAGTTAGACAATGGTTTCTTAGACGGGATACTAAAAGCACAAGGGATCAAAAAAATGACAAAACAGATTTCATCAAAATTAAAAATTTTGTGCTGCAAATGATACCATCAAGAAAGTGAGAAGATGATCTACAATAGCAGAAAATATCTGCAAATCATATATCTGATATGGGACTTTTACCAAGAATATATATAAAGAACTCTTACAACTCAATAATAATCCAATTTTAAAATACGCATAGAATTTACATAGATATTCCTCCAAAGATATACAAAGGGCCAATAAGCAAATGAAGACACGCTTGACATCACTAGTCATCAGCAAAATGCACAATGAGGGAGCCCTTCAAACCCACTAGGATGGCTGCAATCACAAGGATGGAGAACAGCAAGTGCTGGCAAGGATCTGGAGAAAATGGAGCCCTAATACGTTGCTGGTAGGAATGGAAAATGATGCAGGCATACTGGAAAAGTCTGGCAGCCCCTCAAAAAGTTAAACATAGAATTACAATATAACCAGCAATTCCACTAAGTATATATACCCAAACAAAATGAAAACATGTGTCATACATCTACATAAAAACTTGTAACACAAATGTTTATAGCAGGGTTATTTGTAAAGGCCAAGAAGTGGAAACAATCTAACATCCATCAACTAACTGATGAACAGATAAATCAAATGTCTTATAAACATAAAATGGAATATCCCAATCCTCTTGCACCCACCGTAGAAGGAGACTCTAAAAGATTTTAACCCTTGGGTTATCCAGTGGGTCTGTGAAGCTTGGATGCGCTGCCTCCCTTCCATCTGAGGTCCCCATCAGAAAAGGAAATTGGGCTCTCTGATCCATACCCTGTCTGGCCAGTTGCTAAGGCTATTATAACCCTGCCTTCCACTTACACATGATCCAGCAGCTCTCTCTGCAGAGTCTCTCAGAATCACCTCTCAGGAATCCAGGACTGACGGCACCTTCGGCACATCATACCACACACAACCCCCAGGAGGAAGGAGGAGAAGCGTGGGCTCTGCAGTGAGGCTGCCTGGACTCGAACCTCTCACTCAACTGGCTCTGCAACCTCTCATTGGTTTCCCAGAACCCACCTCAGGGGGCCACTGGGAGGATAAAATGCTATAATCCACGTAGATGTTCAATAAATGTTACCTGCTGTTATTATTAAGAAGGGCAGGTGTTCAACCCCAATTTTAGAGACTGAAAGAGATTATCTAGATCGTGGTCTGGTCTCTCCCAGCACAGGTCACGCTGCTCCCTCCATCTGAATGGCCTTGCCCCACTCTCTTTGGCTGGGTACCTTTCCTTATCTCTTTCCTAACACCCTAAGCCAAAAGCTCCTATTACAGTGCTCCAAGCACAGTGGCCTCTTGGTCAGTCACAACTTTACATTTGTTTGTGAAATTGTATTATGTCCATCTACACCACCATACTGCTAACTCCAGGGGGGCAGGGCTTCATGTCTGCTCACCCATCCCTGGCATCCTGCCTGCCATTCCTTCAACACAGTGTGTCACTTATCTGGGATCATCTTTCCTTAAAACCCACCAATGATGGACTTTAATCATATTTACAAAGTACCTTCACAGTAACAGCTAGATTCGTGTTTGATTGCATAGCTGAGAGCTATCGCCTAGCCAAGCTGACACATTAAACCGACCACTACACCCACTAAGATCAGGGACAAGGCAAGTAGGTCCACTTTTCACAAGTCTTGCTCAACACAGTGCTGGAAGTTCTAACCAGTGCAATAAGGCAACTAATAGAAATGAAAGGCATATGGGTAGGAAACGAAAAATAAAACTGTCTCTACTTGAAAAAACAAACAAAACACTTTGCCAGTTACTGTGTTCGGTCCTGAGCATCCCCAGCGCACATCACACACAAGGGCCCTGATCTCTTGCAGCTTTCATTCTATTTAGGGGAAAGGCTGAAAACCAAAACCTCTAAATCAGAGAGTAAGATCCTAAGAGACAATGGGCAAAAAATGGACATGCGCTAAGTATTCACCGAATAAAAGAATGCCAAAGAAACTTCTCTGAGTTACTTGACGCCTACAACCATTCAAGCGGCTTCCATTTGTATCACACCACAGGAGCACGGCTCTGCCCCCCCCACCGTTTCCACAGTGCTGTCTGCTGCACTCTGCCAGGTTAATTTCAAAGGAGCATCAATTCCCTAGACGGTTAAAAAAGGCACTTCAATATTCGGAGACAGGCCTGAAAGTGAGGAGACTCTGCCTCTAATTCTCTGGACCAGAGACATACGAATTTTCCCCAGATGCGACATGAGTCAGAGCAGCCCCGTCTATCTCATGACCCAGGAATTCTGTTCCACGGCTCTGGCGATCACAATTTGTGATTTTAAAAGGTTCACAAATGTGTGATAAAACAGAGCACAGGGAGGCTGCAGAGAAAGTTGGCTGGGGGTACGGGAGACTTGCTTATATTTCTCAATCTGTGCCCTTCTGTCACCCTGGCAGAAGGACAGAGCCACTTAAATCCGCGTAATGACAACTGACTGAGTTAAGATGGAAAAGCTCACTCCTGCTCTTGAGTCATTCGATAAATATTTACCGAGCAGCTACTTTGTGCCAGGCACCACTTTGGGCCCTGACTGCTACTGGGAACATAGCAGGAGATGAATCCAACAAATACTCCTGCCCTCGTGGAAACTGCAATCTGTGAGGAGTCATTATCTCAACAGGCTCTGTCCCCTAGGTGACACCCACAAGAAGGGCCCTTTGGGTCACATGCCAAATGCCAGGTCAGATGTCTGTGTGCCCTCCGGTATCCAACTGAAGTCTCTCACGGCGTTCTTTACCCTCAAGGGGGTCACCGACAAAAATATCAGCAGTGATGGGCCACTGGAAAAAAAACTGCTGACGCAGGTGGGTAAACTGGTGTCAGGGAAGGCTTCTGAGTTCAGGTCAGAACTAAAAGGTGAACAGGAATTAGCCAGGCTGGGGGGACTGTGCAGAGAAGTGGGGTTGGGGGGGCAGAGGTGAAGAGCAGGCTCTACAGGCAGAGGCAGAGACCTGGAGGGGGAAGAAAGCATGGCCCAGGCAGCGAACCGAAAAAGCTCTGAACGGCTTCAGCAAGGGAAGGAGGGGCAGCAGCCTCTCTGGTCCCATGGGGAGCTCGGAACAGGCTTTAGGCAGGGGAAGTGATGGGATTTGATTTGCACTTTAGAAAGGTGACCTTAGCAGCAAAGTATAGAAAATGTTGGAGCAGCCAAGCCCAGCAGGGCACTTGGGGAGACCTGGGAGGCAACTGCCTGGAAGAGGGGAATGACAGAAACGGAGTCAAGAAAACGTTCAGGTTCCTGCCTGAGTAGCTGAGAACAGTGATGCCCTCCATGGGACTCGGTAGACTCTTTCTTTGGTGAGGAGGAGGAGGAAGAGGGGCGAGAAGGAGTAAGCAGTGGTGGTGGTGGTGATAAGCTGGGCAGTGTTTGTGTATCTTAAAACGAAGCTGTGCAGTGGGCAGGCAGGTAGGCAAATGGGTTCAGAGCTCAGGAGACAAGATTTGGATAGTGATGGCATCTGAGGACATAGGCATGATGGCCGGCGGGGGCAGAGTGCAAGGCAAGATGCTCACCTGACGTGACACACCCCGAAGTAACGCAGACTGCTGTCAAAGGTCAAGAACGCCAGGACTGGAAAGTGTGTCCTGGACTTAGCACCAAATTCCCTGTGCTGGTGGTGACAGAATCACGGGCTTGGGTGTCTGGTGGCAACAGCCAAGGAGAGGGCCAGGGAGAGGAGGAGAGCTAGGACAAAAGACAGGCACTCACATGGCTGGGCATGAAGGCTGGAGGGCAGTTAGTCTACTGGCTCTGGCTCACTCTGTTAAGAGTGTCTACTCAAGGCAAGCGGGAAGGTGTTTGAGAAAGACATGGAAAGTATAGTACAGTCACTGTGGCAAAAGTCAGAGAGAGAAGTTGACGATAACACAAGGGAACCACTGGGCAGAGCCCAGAGCCCATCTGAAGTTGCTTTAGAGGGTCATCACGCTGGGTGACAGGTGATTGGATCATTTCTCCAGTCCTCCGCGAAAGGAAGGGGGCAGAGTTCCACCAGGTGGCGCCACGGAAGGACAGCACTGAGGACAGGACAGGGCGGTAGGGGAGAAGCCAGGAATCTGGATGGGGCAAGGAATGTGGGCAAAAGGCTGGAAGGACCGCAGTTCAGAGAGTAAGGTGGTTACGCTTAGGATCTCACAAGCGGAAAAGGTAAAACTGCAGGAGATGACGCAGTCCAGGCTGTGACCCGGGCAGCACGTGAAGCAGGGTGGAGAGGCCACCGCTGGAGTGGAGACAGGCAAGGTGCTAGGTGAGTCATCAGAATCCGGAATGATTCAGAAGTTGCTCAGGGGAAGATGACCTTAAGCCAAATGCTTAAGTCTTTCCTGATGGAGGCAGAGAGGCTGGGAGTGGAAGGAGAAAGGAGGTGGTGATATACTGAAATTCACCAAAGGAATTGCTCAGAGCTCCTTCAGTAAATGGCTGCCACGTGCTGCCCGTCAGTAAGAACAAGGCAAACATCTCATCGCCACAATTATACCACAGTCTTATTCTACAGATGGAAAAATCGAGGCTCATGGGATAAGAACTCACCCAAGGTCACCGAGCCTGAATGTGCTGGACCCAGAACATGAGGTTCAGGCTTCTGAACATCAGATCAGCTCGACCCCACCACACACACACACAGACAGGGTAGATTGCATTATTTATGCCCCAGCAACCACTGATGCCCATGCAAGAGCTCCCTAATTGTGCCTCACACCATCTCCAAGGAGGAGGGGTCAGCGGCCACCCGCTGGTGGCTAATAAGCAACCAGCTGTCCTGCTCAATGGCTTACTGTACTTGCTGAGATAGGAGGCCACAGTAATTACCCAGAGCACGTTAAAAAGAGCCCCAAACGTGATATGCTAATAGTACCAGAATAAACACATGGAAATATCAGTTTTTAAGGAAACACCAGTCTGGCATTTATACTCCTAAAAGAGCTGACTTGTTCATACTCAACAGGAAAAATCCCTTCCTTCCCACATTTCCAAACAAAGCAGCCAGTGTTTTAATTCCAATGACAAGGGAGTTTCATTTTAAGGAGGACAGCGGCCTACCACATTTGTTTTAGGGAGTTAAAAAAATATTAGTACCTCAGTCTCAGGGCGGTTTAAAAAAAAAGTGAGGAAATGAAATAGGACAACAGTCTTGCAGCCAATATTAGTAAGTGAAACGGCTATCAGCATTAATTTAATTCATTTCGATGCCAGGAAGACATGGTGGAAAGGCCTAGAAGAGTTCAGAAGGTGAGAAGAAGTCTTTTTGGATTGACACACTTGAAAGGGAGCTACATCCCATGGCTTCACACCACACTTGGCAAGACTTGCCTAGCCAACAGCACAGGGCAATGGGCGGTCCCTCTGTGCTGCCCGCAGAGGAAACACGAGCCCCGGGGCCACGGCCTGGGAAGCGACAGCACATTCTGGAATAACCAGGCATGCCCCGCTCACCCTCACTTACTGCAAGCCCAAAATAAGCCCAGCTTTCGTGCTGATCCTTCTGACCAGACCCTGCCAAAAAAGCAGCATGATTTTCTGCCCTCAAACACTGGAGATTCCAAGAGAATACACTCTCTAGACTCTTTATCCATAACCTCGGCTTTGTGACCCACCTGAAGCATCAGCGCCTGCTTTACAAGGGAAGCTGCTAGTAAGCATTCTTAGCTCAGACCCTCCAAGGCTGCAGGTGGACCAACTGAGTCCCCTCACCTTTCGGGAACCGTGACGGTGTTTGGTTTCCCCCCCATGCCATGCCTCGAGGCCAGCCTTGCAGGGAGGGAAAGCATCTCAGACTGCTGAGGTGAGCAACAGTGAGAATGATAAACCTTGGCTCTGCTGTTTAATCTTTTTAATCTCCCTGGTCCCTGAAATTCTGATCCTCCCCGGGGGTGGGAGATGCTATCAGCCACATCCATCATGAGGACACTGGAAAATGCACCTCAGACAGCCCATAATAGAAGCATTTTAACAATAGTCCATTTCCAGTAGGGCACTGTCTCCAGACACAGACTAAGCAAGCGCGCGCACTTACACTGTGACATTCTCGAATCCCTTTAAGAACCTTCGGAAATTTTTTAATTTTGAAAATTCAAATCGCAAGATTAGCGATCATCAATTGTTACTGATACTGTGCTCTGAGGCACACCGTTCCTTTCTTTTTGTAGTCTGTTCAGTGGTTACTCCAGGCTCGCTGATTTGGGATGAAGCTGGGGCTGTACCTCTTGGCTTCTGCCAAAAAGAGTCCTTCTCAGCCATACAGGCAAACCGCATTCTCGTCCTTCTCACTCTTTAGCTCCACTCTGAGATGAAGACACCTCTACTCACTTCTTTGGTACTGGGAAAACTCAAACCCCAGTGTCCCTACTCACTACCTGACCAACAAACTACACATAACAATTTTTACCACCAGGATTTTTAAATGGCGTAAATGCTTTGCGGTGTTCAACATTCCATTTAGAACATGTCTAAGTTCCGAGGCTCCTCATGCCCACAGCCAGCTGTCAGCCACATCACATCCTTCCACGGGCCTCGAGCTGCCATGGCTCTCTCTGGGCCTGTGCCCACCTCACCATCTCCCTGCTTCCACTCCCGCATAAACCACTCAGCAAATACACTGGATGAGGCAGAGACACATCTCTGCCCCCAGCCTGGAGCTCTGGCACCTGCACCCACCAATCTGGAAGATGCCTCTTTCTCATATAAAGTTAGGACAATGAAAAAACACTGCCCGTTTTTCTTTTCCCCAGTCTTTCAATTAGCAGGGAAATCAATATGAATAATTAGTTGCCCGGTTTAGTCTCACTTTTCTCATGCTGATCTCACTCTACAGTCTGGGTTTGGGGTATTTTTTTTTAATCTTTTTTATAACATATTTTTTAAATCCAAAAAGGTTGTTTTTTTTTTCCAAAAATAGTTATATTCACTCTTTTGACAAAAAAATTGTCTAGATTACATAAGTTTTTCTTAAGATGTACTTCCAACAGTCACAGCCATCATGAGTAATAAATGACACTAAGGTGTATGTGTGTTATTTACTTTTGAAATAAGAATATAATGTTGTCATAGCTACAAAATAAATGTAAATAGATCAAAATATCAGCAGTTTGAAATAAACCATAGGAAACTTCTATAAGGAAGCCTGCGTCACTCTGAGCTTTAAAGAATATACACTGAGGTCATATCAGACAACAGCACATTTCCTGGAGAGGGATTCAGGCTCCTGGAACAATAATGTAAGTCAATTTGATATTGATTCTACCTTGTGATTCTAAGCTAAGATGTAGGTTACTATAAAAAGCAGGGGAAAGAGGAGGGCCATGGGGAAGCTGACTGATCAGTTGGTCAATGAGCTGCAAGACAACAGTGGCAGGAGGGGTCATCAGCAGAACTGACAATATACAACCAGCGTGCCGAACTAAACAGAAATGACCCTTGCTCCAATCGGAGGAGTGAAGAGGGCAGCAAGCTAACTGTGCCACTGAAACAGACACTTGGCCAAACAACTTCCCATACGTGATCACCCTCGGACTTACCTGCACTCCTTATAATTTCTAGAAACACCGAGGTTCACTTTTAACCTGAAATGGGCAAACTGTCTTCATGTCCTACTGTGCCTTTTTCTAGTTACATACAGGGTTAAATAAAAGGGCCTAAAAGGAGAAAAAGAGGAAGTTATGGAAGGGAGGGACAGAGGCAGAGAAGGGGAGTGAAATCAACGCAGAAATAGCAAGAGGAGAGACAGATGGAGGGAGGGAAAGACAGAACAAACAGCAGACAGAGAAAGAGGGGAAAAGACAGAGAGACGAAACACACAGAGAAAACGGGGAGAGAGAACAGCAGAGACAGAAAATGTCCCCGAGAGAGAGAGACGGAGAATGAAAAGGAAAAAGTTCACAGGCAAAAAGGAATAATGTGTTTCATGGAAAAGCTATCTGTTACCGAGTCGCTCTTTTTCCATGTACTGTGTTAATACCATATGTGGGAAGTGACCGAGGCTGGAACTCCGCCTAACAACATCTGCCCTGGACTTTAAAAGCCCTAATAATAGCACAGCTGGTGTCCCCAGACCAAGAGCTCACAGCCCACGTGACTGCCCTCCCTCAGCGGCTCCTCCAAGGGCAGTGCCGGCCCTCCCCCACATCCAAGCTTTCTTTCCTCCACTGCCTTGCCGAAAAGACCCCCACCTATTTTTCTGAGCTCATTTAACTCTGATCCAGCACAGCAGCTCTTTTGAACAGGGGCAGTGTTAACATGCGAGGTAAATATCAGAAATGAAAGATGGGAATTTTCTGTAACTGTGTACGGTGACAGATGTTAATCAGACTTAGTGTGGTGATCATTTTGCAATATACACAAATATCGAATCATGTACACTTGAAACTAATGTAATATATATCAATTATGCTTCAAAAAACTAGGAAACATTAAAAAAAGATGGGGACATCAGTACAGATCTTCTGGGCATTAAAAGAATTATGCCAATAAGTAATTTAACAGCTTGGATGAAATGGACAAACTCCTTAAAATAGGCAACTGACTGAAACTAACACAAGAGGAAAGAAAAGATCTGAAGAGCCCAGTATCTACTAAAGTAATGGAACCCCTAATGAAAACCCTTTCCACATCCAAGGAAAGACCAGGATGTCACCACGTGGGTCTTGCTGCCAGGGTACAGGGTACAGGCCCCTCCAGGAGCCCAGATTCACTGTCTCTGACCAGGAGGCTTACGGCCAGCTTGACTTTCCCACTGATCACTGCCTGTTACCAGGAGGAAACCATGCAGCACAAAATTGGAAAGAGGGGCTCTGGGGCATGGGAACAAAGAAAGGAGGTTTTACAAGTCTGAGGCGTTTTAACCCTCTCTGGTATCATTTTTTTAAACGAATTCCTATCACAATACACTTTTAAAAAGCCTCTAGTGCTTGAAGAAACCACACCTTAGCATCAGGAAGGGCAAGGAATTCAGCTTCTAAGGGGAAGCCCACTGGAAATTGACAGAGAGGAAACTCCAGTTGGCACTGACACCGTATCCATAGCAATTGGAAGAGGAGCTGAAAAATCTGGGATTTCTCACTCTCCCTCTCAGCCCGGGCAACACATCCGAGGGCAATGAAGAGCCAAATGGACACGATACATGGGGCTTACTCACAGAAAAAGACAAAGAGGGCCAGCCACGTTTCAGAAACCGCGCTCAGTGACACAACAGCATGGACGTTTGTGAGCATGCGGTACCCAGGCTAGCAAAATTACATGGTTCTATCCCTGCCTGCCAGTTAATTATATCAACTACTATCACATGACTAGCTGAAAGGTGGGCAATCATTAACTTTTTCTACTGTTAAACACTGTTACACACCAAAAGACAGTGTTTTATACCTTGTTAATGCCATGAATAAATTATCTAACTCTGGACAAGTTCCTGTTTTGATTTATAAGACCAATGCCACCCTTGCTGTAAGTTAACCTGGCAAAATTCACAAGAATTTAAAGAACATTTATGGTATTTTAAGGACCCTCCTAAGTATTTTTATACATCATTCCCTTTTGTTGAAATGTTTAATACTGAGAATCCTTTCCAAGAACAAATGGGTTGTTCCATGAAACATGAAAAGCATGAACAGAATCAATTGCTATTTGGTCTTTATCAAACTTGCCCTTCCACTTTCACTCTTTTTAGGTCAGATATCCAGGTTAAGTTTATAGTTGTCAAGAACTGAGACTCCTCCTGGTTCAATCTTTGGACCCACGACAATACACCTTGGTCAAACCATATTAGGGCAAAAGGAAAAATCAGTAATACCAAGTCTGCCTTAATTTAAAATTGATTTTTTTAACATAGATTTCTTCCCATTAATTGAGATTTTTTTTTAGAAATATTACACTAAAATATTATTGATGTTGATTACTTAAATTTTTTGGCAACTTCTCCCCTTAAATGCTATACCTTTGGCAAGTGCCTCAGTCTCTTCACCCAGCCCAGGTCTTAGTCCACAATAATAACAATACACCCTGGGTGAATCAACGAGAAAGGATAAACACCCAGGCTTCATTAACTAACCCAAAGACTGGGCAACAGATCCCTTAAGGACCATCTACTGAGGGAGAGGGGTGTTCAGTCCAAATGACTCCAAGGGGCAGGGGGAGCAGAATGAAAACCACAAATTCAAGTGCAGTTAAATTCTGTGGAACAAATAGTTTACGTCATGTTGCCTTACAATCTAACAGCTGCAAAATTAACCAGAATTTTTCAATTATCTTATGCATTGAGCTCCATTAATGTTTTTTCCTATTCAGCTCCATTAATTCTGACTTACACATACACCTGTTACAGTCAACACATCCTGGCAGGTAACCATCACTATTCTGATCCTTATTGCAAGACAATTTTGTCTGTTTGTGAACTACCCGAAAACGGAATTCTTCAGTGTATACTTCTGTGTCTGGTCACTTTTGCTCAACATTTTGCCCGTGATTTTCATCCATCTTTTGCAATGATCAGTACTTCATTTCTTTTTATTGCTGAGTAGCAGTCTGTTGTCTGGATGCATCAACTTGCTCATACAGTCACCAGTTAATGTACATTTGGGTTTTTTTTTCCCCTCAGTTTGGAGTTATTAGCAGAGAAGCTGCTATGAACTAAGTAAAGGGCACTGGTTTCTGTTGAGTCCATGCCCAGAAGTGAATCAGTGGGTCATAATGTATATGCTCAGCTTTAGTAAACAGCACCAATGTTCCAATGTTTGTTCTTCTCTGCATGTGATGCATGAGGTTTCCAGCTGTTCCACATCCCCACCAGCGGCTGAAATTACCAAATTTCTCATTTCGTCCATTTTGATGGGGCTGCAGAAGCCTCTGCTAAAACAAGCGATCTCCAATCCTCTCTAATTTTACCATAATTCTACCGCTCCAACAGTACAAATGGTAAAAACCCCAAGTAAGAAGTCTAAGAATCACAAGAAAGTGCAGAAGAATCTCTACTTGAGCTCATTATTTCAGGAATTCATAAAAATATGGACCCAAGCAACATGAGATAAACATGTATGATACTTGGCAAGGAAACATGCAAATTTTCTTACAGTCAATGTGTTACTATACGATGTTTACAACGCTAAGCCAGCATCTCTTCTGAACCATGGAGAACTGAGTGATACAACTCTAGCACATATTTGCACACCTACTATGTATAAACAAACCCACAGAACATTTTAGTTTATATTATTTGGCCTCTCACAGCACAGGGACCTCATGAACCCCACCTGTGACCACAAGAACACTCTCTCCCAGCACTTTCAGCCTCATCCTGGTCAACCTCTGGTCGGTCCTCTTTGAGTTCTTCTTCACACAGTATCACCACTGTCCACACAGGGGTGGCACCCAGACCCTTACTTCACACTCAGACCTCTCTTCCAAGCATCAGCCCCAGATGTCCCCCATCCCTAAACACCTCCGCTTGGAAATCTCAAGACCACATCAAACTTACCATATTCGAAACAGGACCCGCCAGGTCCTTATTGCTGCACAACTGAGTGATGTTAATCCGATCTGGAAATCTCAGCCCCATCCCTGAATCCGTCCCTTCCTAAGTGGCCCATCACCTCCTCAAAGAGCAAGCCTCAACCCCTCAACAGCATTCAAAGGCCATCCACTTCTTTCCAGCTACAACATCACTTACGACTCCAGGTGAACTCCCTACACTCTTTCCCCGTGAGTAAAGCCAGAGCTTCTGATGCAGGACTCAGTCAATCCTAGAGGAGGACGAAGTCTGGGCATGTGCACCAAGGGGAAGTCACCCACTTGTCCCTGAGGACACCCCTTCTCTTAGGAAAGTCTACAAACTGCATCCCTGGTGAACAAATGGACATATGACTTCTGAGTTTGTGAGTCAAATTCTCAGACTTGATGTTGCTGATCATTCTGTCACGCTGCCTCTTGTCAAATAGAAAAGTCAGTATACCATAAATGACAAAAGTCTGACCATAAGATAAAACCAAACTCCCAGGAGTATTTGTTTTCGCTATTCCCTTCCATAAGTATCATTTCTCTTCCAGGATTAAGAGACTTCGATCAGCTAGAAGTTTTTCAAGTTAACATTCAATGCCTGCTCTGACATTCTTCTTGCACGTGTAAAGTACAAACTAGCTTCCTACCTTGCAAGTACAGTATAAATACATCCAGTGCATCAGTCAACATTTTAGTCTACTTTCCCAATGATGCACTTGTCATGCCTTTCATCTACTATTGTAATCCTAATATTCTGCTTGTGTTCTTAAATAGAAAAGTATTTTCTCAAATTTTTAACACCAAACTACACTTCTTCCACAAGAGACCTTTGAAATGTCATGATATTTGTGTCCAAATATCAAGTCCAAAGGGATGTCTCTAATGCCTTGGGATCCTTGCAAAGTTAACCCTTTCTTCTCAAAGCCTAAGCGGGGTAGATTGTTGTTAGGTGAACAAAAACCAGAGCCTCGCTCACTGCCTCAAGTCATGGGAGCCAGTCCTGTTAGCACCACAAAGGGGGAGGCCATCACATACCCTTAGGGCATGGCACAGAGTATGCGCTCTAGAATTATTTGTGGATGAATGGACCCTGAGGAGTTCAGTAAGACCAACAATAACAATGGCTAACGCAAAACGCTTACTGAGTCAAGCATACCTATTAATTCACAATTCACGTAACACCCTTAATAACCATATGAGGTTATCACATAAGGTAATGATTCAGGAACTGGCTGTCATAAACAGGAGTTCTTTGTTGTGTTCAACACATCTAGCCCTAACAAAGCACCAGTCTTAAAGAGGGGGAGAAAAAAAGGAACACGGCTTCAAACACATCAAGAGTATGCTAGTCTATACAGACTGTTAAATCTGGAAGTTTGGTTTTTTTTCAACAAAGGCTACACCCTACTTGGGTCCATAAAGCAGAGCGATACAATTCCCAGAGTATTCAGAGTTGTATTTAAAAACTATCTAGATGCAAAGGTTGGAATGACATACCCACCATCTGGAGGACACCCTCTCTCCTCTCTACAATGAAAGCCAGTAAGCAAAGTCTCAGAAAGTCTGCACCCAAACGTTAACACTCACAGACACACACCAGTGAGTCATCCATGTAACAAATTGCTCATTTTCCTGCTCCCTACCTTCCCTCTAAATCATTACACTGCTAGTCCACAATCATAGGTTTGGTTTCTCGTTTGTTTGTTTGGTGTTTTTAATCCCCCAGAATAAAGCTTACCAATTTCAACTTCGTGCCAACTTCGTAACTCTACAAGAATCTGCTGATCCCCTTAGTTTAAGTAAACCTCCAATTTTCTTTTCTTCCTTTCCTTCCTTCTTTCTTTCTTTCTTTTTTTTTAAGGAGGGTAGGTAATTAGGTTTATTTACTTTTTTAAATGGAGGTACTGGGGACGGAACCCAGGACCTCGTGCATGCTAAGCATTCACTCTACCACTGAGCTATACACTCCCCACCTCCAATTTTCTTCCCAGGTTTGAAATTCTCCAATGCAAGCAAGACACACATATTTGGACCCTTCTTTTAATTTTGAACAAAAAATGGCCCTTGAGATAATAA